AGAGAGAGAGAGAGAGTTGGTTGTGGTGGTATGAGCTTGTGTTTCCAGCACTGGGAATGTGCCTCCCCTGGGCTCACTGGCCAGCCAGCCTAGTCTGTTTTTTACAGGCCAATGAGAGTTCCAGGTTAATGAGAGAATCTATCTCCAAAAAAGGTGAAGGAGTGTTAGTAAGATGGCTCAGTGGGTAAAGGCACTTGCCGTCAAGCCTGAAGACCTGATTTTGATCCTCAAGACCCACATGGTAGAAAGAGAGAACCAACTCATGCAACTTTCCTCTGACTTCCACACAAGTGTCATGCATAGTGCTAGGGTGCACAAAATAAGTAAATGTATTTTAAAAAGGTAGACAGTGTCTGAGGAATGACACCCAAAGTTGTCCTCTGGTTTCCACACAAAGAAACATGTGCACACATACACGTACCCCCACAAACATGTGTGCACATGTGCATACACTCACACATACACACATACACACCTCTTCACACACATATGAAACCTCTTTTATGCCTCTAGTTCTAACAATATTTTAGCAATGTTTACAAGTTTGGATAAGATGGATTCTTTTGTTTTTATTTTACATGGGTGATTGTTTTAAAAACATTTTTATAATCTTATTTCAAGTTCTTCCTAGTCTTTTTCTACTTCACTTTTCTTTTTGGTTTTGTTTTGTTATTGAAAACAGGCTAACCTCAAACTTGCCATCTCAACTACCTCAGCTTCCTGAGTGCTGGAATTACAGGAAAATATCTGGCTTCTCTCACTTTTTTAAACTTTTATTTTAGCTTTCTTACATGGTACTTCTTATAATCTACATTATGATGATAAAGATGTTGAGGATATTGAGTTCTGTTGTGTGGTAGGTTCATCATGTGCCAAGTTATATTACATTTATTATTATTTTTTAATTTGCAAAACACATATCATTGCTATTTTACAAAGTGGAACATGACTAACTTCTGGTCACACAGCATAATGAGTTAAGGAGCTAGAATTCAGATCTTGTTCATTCCAAGTCCACCCTCTATGTCTGAAGAAAACCCATTGCTGATGCTGCTTTGCATGAGAGTCACCTAAGATTCATTTGCTCCTCAAAGAAACACATAAATTAACATACACACAATCCTATTTCTAGTTAATCAGTTTATGTGAATTAGTAGGGCCCCTTTCAAATAGGAATTTTGGAGGTTTTTGTCAGAATATGTAAGACTGTAGCTTTACCATAGAGGGAATATAAGCACAATAATAAAAATTTATGTAAATCAAACAAAAAGTTTGATATATCTATGTTTCATTGAGTAACTAATCAAAAGAACTGGGTCTGTGATCTGTCATAGTATTTGATATTATAGAGAAAGGGGTTGAGAAGGTTGGACTTAATATTTGTATCCTTAACCACACAGCAAATTAAATTTAAAAGAAACAAAAGAAACACTGGATATTTATTTATTTATTTATTTATTTATTTATTTATTTATTATTTATATGTTATGTGTGCATGTGTGGAGGTCAGAGGACAACTTGCAGTAGTCTGTTCTCTCCTTCCACCATGTGGATCCCAGGGATTGAATTCAGGTTGTAAGACTTGGCAAGTGTCTTAGCTTGCTCAGCCTTCTTGATAGCCCCACCTCTGGATGTTGAAAACTTTCAACATCAGAATGTGATGAAGCTTGATGAAAAAATTTGTTGATCTACTTCTTTGTGTAAGGGACCCACCATTTTTAATAGGTTCAACTTTCTGAATTCTCGGAGGTTCCCAAGAGTGAACTTTCTAACCAATATTATAAGCTATTAGATACAGTAGTTATTAAAGTTTCATTAAAAAGGAAGATATTGATAACTAATTTCAGGAAGTTTAATTATTGGGACTCAAATAAATTATGTGGATTGTGTCCATAATTGGGTATATCTCTAGGCCTTAAGCTTGGTGAAAAAAATGAACCTGTAAAATTTCCAGGGCTATTTACTAGAAATAGAATTAAAATTTCATAGCAGACTTATATTTTGTCAAGTATTTACCATGATATTAATTTCTTTGGCTACATTTGGAATACAAAAGTAAAAATTTCTCTTAATTGTTAGTTGGCTTAGTATTATAAGGAAAAAAACCGTTAAAATGAATAAGCAAAATATTCTCACCAACAGATTCAGTGTTTCTGAATATTAGAGATGAATGAATGTGCTTCTCAGAGTACTTTTCACTTTCTAGAATGCTAAGCTCTGAATGACAGTGTGAAAATATATTCAGATTCCCTAAGTAAGTAATACAGGAGAATGATTAATTGTGTGAATTTCCCATCACATAAAAAATAAATTATATTTGAGTTTACATAGCTTGACTTCCAAAACATTTTCTAGTGAAAAAAAGCTAAAGAATTCCATTTATATGGGAACCTGTGAGAATAAAATAATGCTCTGTTTTTGTGACTACATAGCTATGAAATTATATTCAAAGTTGCAAAAGAATATACTTGCTGAACTAGTTGTTTCTCAAAGTGTCAATTAAAAATATCAATGGGACAGTTTTTGAACTGATGGATGAAGCTTTGTACATATTGTTAGAATCTCCAGGAACTCATACAGAGGATATTGGAGAGCTGTCCCACAAGGTGTCCTAGTTTCATTTCTGTTGTTATGATTAAAAACACTCTACCAAAAACAACTTCAGGGAGACAGGTTTGGTTTTTGTCTGTTTTGTTTTTAACATACAAGTCAGGTTACAGTCCATCATAGCAGGGAAGTCAGGAGGCAGGAACTTAAAACAGCAGTCATGTCACATCGACAGTCCAGAGAAAACTGAATGCATCTATGTTTACTTCTCAGCTCATTTTCTATGCTGTTAAGAGGTCAAAACTCAAACTCAAGGAATAGGGCTGCCCACAGCCCACAGAGGGCTGGATCTTCCTATCAATTAACATAATAAAGACTGTTCCACCACAGACATGTCCACAGGCCTACGTGATGTAGACTATCCCTTATTGAGACTATTTTCCCAGGTGATTTTAGATTGTGTCAAGTTGACAGTTAAAACCAACCATTACAATGGGTCATTACAGAAAAACACTAGTTTCAGTAGTAAAGAAAGGAAAGACTGGAACACAGAACAGAGTCTAGAGTCTTTCTACAGGGCTCAGCTGCAGCTGGGGCATGCTGTCCTCAGTGTGAGAGTACAACTGCTGAAGGTTGGAACCACAAAGAGAGGACCTTAGAAAATTTACATTATACTTTCAGTAACAGATAATTTTATGGAAAGACAGAGAGACAGAGACAGAAAGAGCATGTAACAATGACCCCAAATCCAAAAGCCACAAGTGACAATTGTGCCTGTGGAAGGAGTGGTGCCAGGAAAATCTTTTCTTACAGAAGGGTCTCTAGAGGCAAGGAAGCCTCCCTGTGGGACTTATTCTGGGAACTCAGAGCAAGTATTTTGGGACTGTATTCTGAGATCTAATCTGAAAATACTCTAGCTAGAGGGGAAAAACTTTGAGTCAGAAGGAAGAAATCTAGTATGATCCATAGACTGGAGTGGACCACATTGAGACAGACTTAGTACCTATGGTCATGCCAAGGGAAGGTGGGCCAGCATCAGTGCCTGGACCAAACAAGTCAGGCCAACAATGCCCAGTCAAGAGATCAGCTCTTTGACCATATCCACAGATCAGTTTTAATTCCTTTATTTTTCTGTTTCTTAAATCTTATTTCAATTAAGTGGTCCACCTTTGTCCTGCCCCATTCTCTTTCTTCTGTGTGTGTGTGTGTGTGTGTGTGTGTGTGTGTGTGTGTGTGTGTGTGGATGCACATGGACAGGTACATGAGTGCTTGTGCATCTGGAAATCAGAGTCAGCACCAGGTGCCTTCTTCAATCCCTCTTTAACTTAGCTTTTGAGTCAAGATCTTTCACTGAACCTGGAGCTCCTTGGTTCTGGCTCTCTCGCTCTCGCTCTCGCTCTCTTGCTCTCTCACTCTCACTCTCTCATAGGCTTCCCCAAAGAACATAGGTAGCCCTGGAATTGAGGGTTTCAGGCTACCTCAACCTCTTGATTGCTGGGGTCATTTTAGGTTGATAGTGTTTCTTTACCTTTTTTTTTTTTATTTTATATTTAGCCAGAGCTACCTTATCATCTCCCTTCATCTTTTTTGTTTCCTCTTCTGTATACTTTAATCTATTTTCTGTATAGCTTTAATATTCATTGTTAGTTTTCCTCTGCTTCTTTGCTAGTCCTACCCTTTTATAACTTAATATCTTAGTACACAATATTTTATCTTTACTTTTTCACTCCTCCCAAATTATTGGATCTGAAGAGGCAGTTGTTTTTAATTGACTATTACTGTATTTTATAGTAGATTTACCCATTGATTGTGAATGCTTCTGTAGACAGTATTCTATGCTCAGAATAGAGCTGGAGATTGAGCCCAGTGCTCTGAGCACATAGTCTGAAAATTTAGTGTCTGAGTTACCTGTAGTCAGTGGGAGAGATTGTTTCTCATCTGTGTTACAGCCCACTCCCCTCCCACTTAAACATTCAGATGCACGTATCTTAATCCCACAGTGCAGAAATATGAGCTACTTGAAAAATCAGGGTGACATAACTCCTAAAAATGACTAA